CGCTTAAGTGCTTACGTCATACTCTGTGGCTAAGTTCTTATGTCATACAGTGTGTAAGTTCTTATGTCATACTGGATGTAAATTCTTATGTCATACTGTTTGTAAGTTATTATTTTATATAGTGGATTAGGGCTGCACAATATTGGAAAAAAAAGTGACACTGCAATATTTTTTCTGTGATACATATTGCGATATAAAAAAATACAGAAATACCTCTATTTGGAAAGAATCATTCTAGAATGATTAGGGTATTTTACAGGGGAGTGCATTTGCATAGAAAAAGATATGATTGAAAAAAGCTAAAACTAGCATTTTACTCTGAAGACTGTAAATAAAGAAGAAAGGTCTTGTCTAAAAGGGATCCAGGAAATTACAGGAGGCCATATCTCTGTACTCCAGGCTAAAACAGAGCATTAAACTAAAGAAGCCTCACTATCACACTAGGGAATTAGCATGAGTACCAAGGTAGGCCATTTAACATTTTAATCCACAATTAAAACCTCCTTTTTGTGAACAGCAAAGCAAGTAAAGTAAACATCTTTTAAACAAAACTATAAAAATAAAAATAAAAGAGTGGCTATACACTAGCCTCCTGAATCGTTAACTAAAAATAAGTTATAATTTCTTATAGGACAAATAACTTGTAAAGAGCTAAATTGAACTCATAAATAACAATATCAACTTGTAACAAATAACAAATACTGACTCAGAAACATTTTATTAAAATCAACTTTTCTTAGCAACACTGCCAGAGTAAAACAAAGTGTTGGTCATCATGGCTAGCCCAAAAATTAAATGAAACTTTTCAATTATATAAAATATGGTTTCTTTGTTAATAGACTACCTAGCAGATAAATATATTTTACCATTTCTTTCTGACAACTGTTGCATAATTTAGTCAAATATAATTATTTAATTTTTTTAGCATCTGTATGCTTTGCTTAAGCAAGCAAAAACTGTATTTTATAATTAAAAAAAAAAATTTATAGCTCTTTTTACAACAGGTGTTGTCACAAAGCAGCTTCACAAAAAAAAAAAATGGGTCCAAGCCCCCATGAGCAAGCAAATGGCAGCAGTGGCAAGGAAAAACTCCTTAAATGCAAGAGGAAGAAACCTTGAGAGGAACCAAGACTCCTCTGGTCGACACCGGATAGCAAACAAAATTTGTATAAAATATTAAAATACAGAAACAGGGTAAAACAGGTGAAGCAATGGTTATAATTAAATATTCTGAGTCTGTGCAGCAGCAGCAGCAGCATCAGAAAGGTCAGTTCCTGCAGGTGAGGTTTGCACAGCATTGTACAGCGAGAAGTTTCATAGTGGTCAAAACGGTCCAGAAGGCTGGCAAGCAGTGGGCACGATCAAGGCAGAAGAAGAAGAACAGCAACAGATCGCACAGGCTGGGCAGTTGTAACTCAGCAAAGAAAAAGAAAACACACAGAGAGTCAGTAAAGAGTGACTGGACTGTTAAGTTGAAGTTTATCATCTGGTTTGGTTGATATATATATAACTGTCTGTCATCAATGCAGCAGTGGAAATTGATGCCGTGTTTACTGATAATGGTACCCAGTGGTAGCATATATAATGTGAATTGTATAGATCCTAAAACAGAGCCTTGTGGAACACGATACTTTACTTTAGATCAGTCAGGTAAGATCTGAACCAGGAAAGAGCTATTCCTGTTACCCCTACAAGGTTTTCTAGTCTATCTAGTAAGATAGAGTGGTCTATCGTATCAAATGCTGCACTAAGATCAAGGAGGACTAGCAAAGATACATTTCCTTGGTCAAAGAATAATAAGAGATTGTTTACACTTTTCTGTACTATGATGTGGCCTAAAACCAGACTGAAAATGTTCTCATGTACATAATTCCTATGCAAATAGGAACTTAATTGTTTTGCCACAACTGTTTTGCCAAGATCTTTGATATAAAGGGAAGATTCGAGATAGGTCTATAATTTGATAGTTCACAAGATTCGCTTTCTTAATCAGAGGTCTAATTACTGCTAGTTTAAGAGTTTTTGGAATATAGCCAAGGCTAAGAGAAGAGTTTATTATTGACAGAATAGGCTTGGTTATTTCTGGAAAAATTCTTTGAGTAAACCTGTAGGAATTGAATCTAATATGCAAGTAGAAGATTTTGTAGAGGAAATCATTTTAACTAGCTCAGTTTATTGAAGTAAGGTAAACTATTCCAGCTTCTCTGTAGTAGTTACAATATTCTCAAGATCTGGATTGGCATTGTACGGCAGCAGGTTTGTAGAGTTTAACTGTGCGTTCTGAATTTTCTGGCTGATGTTTTACATTTTATTACTGAAGAAATTCATAAAATCATTGCTGCTGTAGGCTGATGGCATCTGGGGTTCAGTCACTGTTTGGTTCTTAGTGAATTTAGAAATTGTGCTAAATAATAATCTAAGATTATTTTTATTGTTTTCAATGAGAGAGGACAGATAGGTTGAGCATGCTGCAGTAAGAGCCACATTATCTAGAGTAGAATGAAAAGTATCCTCTAAGCACTTGGTCAAAACACAGGGTGATTCAAAAAGATGCATCCGATTTCAAAGCGCCATATTTTTACAACCGTTAGGCGCCTAGGAACCAATCACATACCAATTGAAAGAGGGGGTTACAGAGTTTCTGAACACTTCTGTCACCAGAAGATGGCTCCCCGCAGTCTGCGAGGAAATGGCGACCCCTGAGCAGAAAGCGTTTTGCGTTCTCCACTTCAATAGTGAATCCGTCATAATTGTGCAACATGATTTTCATCGACAGTGAACCTCCAACAGCTCAGAGCATTTCTCGTTGGTTCCACAACACTGGATGATCTCCAAAATCGCATTGAAAGAGCCGTGGGAACAGTGACACCCGACCTGCTCAATCAAGTATGGGATGAATTTGACTATGGTGTTGATGTTGTCCGTACAGCTGGAGTAGGGCATATTGAGCTTGTAAAATTACATAATAAACTTTATGCTCATTTAAACCATTTACAATTAACTGCATTGTTCTGTAATGATTTACAAGTGAAATAAATCATTTTGAAACCGGAAGAATCTTTTTGAATCACCTGTATATAATTCGGTAGGATTACACGGACAGCTGATAGAAGCTGATAATTGTGGGAGGTTTCTGATAAAGCTACCAGCTGTGGAGGAAGTTATAGTCTGCTTAACACGATAGCATGGTGATGACTGTTTATTGTGACTAAATCGAAATTCATATGAGATTAGGTCATGATCTGAGATTGCTGTGCTCTGGGGGAGAGTGGCTAAATGATCTATGTTTACATCCAAGGTCAAAATTAAGTCTAGAGTGTGGCTGCAATAATGAGTGGGCCCCTTTATATTTTGAGTGAAACCTATAGAGTCTAAGATAGATATAAATTCCATAATTAGTGAATCTTGTAGTTTATCAAAGTGGATATTAAAATCTCCGACAATTATTACTTTATTCGAAAACGTTATTAAACTTGACAGAAAGTCAGAAAATTCCTGTAAGAACTGAGAATACAGCCCTGGCGGCCTATAGATTGTAATTATTGAAAAGGAATTCTTATTTGTCTCATGATCACTTATGTTAGAAAAAGAATTTCAAAAGAAGGGAATTTGTAGCCTACTTTCTGGCTCACTTCTAAAGCTTTTGTATAGATGGTTGCTATACCTCCACCCCGGCTGCTTAAATGAGTGCTATGTGCATAACTAGACTGTGGGGGTGGCTTTATTTAGACCAAAATATTCATCAGGTCTAAACCACGTTTCTGTGAGACACAGAGCATCAAAATCATGATCAGTTATAATTTCATTTACAGTGACGGACTTAGATATAAAAGATTTTATGTTAAGCAGTCCTAGTTTCGGACCAAGAATACCTATATTTAATAATATAAGACAATAATATTTTACTTAAGAATCCCAGCCTATTTACCAATGCAGGCTTGAGACAAGAACGTTGGCAAGTGATGATGTGGCCCCTTGCACTGAAAAGCCTCTTTGAGGGGAGGTCGTAGTAGGACTGCATAGATACTTGCGGTCAAGCTTAGCGAGTCGTGGAAAGTTTACTTTGTGTGTTTTCCACCATGCAAGTGGATCTTCCTTTTTGTCTATGGAAGGTGTTAGCAGGTAGTTGTTTAACTGCTTCTACACATCATTAAGGCTATGTTTACACAGCAGGTAAAAGTGAAGTGGCCCAAATCCGTTTTTTTTTGTTCTTCACATGTGACACAGATCTATGTCATCTGTGTGGCAGTGTGAAAAAAAAAAACACTGAGTCTGACGTTTTCAATTCTGACTTGAGGCGCTTTCATATGTGGTACTGAAATCCGATCCGTATCCGATCTGCAGCAGTGCGACTCAGTCTGAACAGCCAGTTCAGTATTCACGCGCCTTTTATGTCAATCCAACTCAACATTCGTCAGAAATTCGCACTGCTGAGACCTCAGTACCGCTGAGATATTTCTGTACAAAAATTAAAAGAGACTTATCCAAAATCCTCCATGTTTGATGAGATTTTGAAAGAAATGGCCGAATGCAGCCGCATGAGACCTAGGCTGCAGCGTCAAGAACAGTTAAAAGTCTGAAAGTAAAGTTTAAAGAATCCGAGTACACGAACCAAAGAAGTGACCGTGGCCGAAAAATGTTCGAACACATTCTGGGTCATGAGCCCAGCTGTCAGTCAGTGAAGCTTCATGATCGCTTCTGTGACGCCGGCTCCTGAAAGCTCCAGGAGTTACTGGTGTTCGTTGGAAGTCATTGTTTACCTCTGGATGAACCACATGAAGCAACGTAAAGCATTGTTCTTTTGCGCATACAGGTCGGTTTGGGAGCGTAACCTGTTCAGGCTAATGTCGCATGTCGGTCACGTTTAAAAGATAATGTGGACAGCCAAACAAAAAAAAATCGAATTCGGTGAGAAAATCAGATTTGGGCCACTTTTACCTGCTGTGTGAACATAGCCTAACGGTCAGAATGGAATCACCCTTTGCGTTCTGTTCTTTTCAAAGAAACTTCCCAAGGACTTCTTGGCTTTTTTGCCTGGAACATGTCAGCAACTTTGGGCTCCACTTCAGTGATGTCTTCTGGCTTTCCATTATCTCTGATGTCACTCTGGCCTTGACTTGGGGCTTGTTGTCGGCACTGATGTAGTACATCTTGAACCAAGGATCCAAACAAGGTACTACTTCTTGGTAAGGTCTGTGTCTTCCTCTGGTCTTGGCAGCGCTGAAGTGTTGAAGAGGTGAACAACTGTCTATATCTTGCCAGGTTGGAATTACACGCTGCACCTTCTTGGCCACAGCTTAAACAGGACCCAAGTTAAAGCTTTCTGCTGTTCAAGAATCCTGCTGATCATCTTCTGTCTGGAATCCCATCTTATCTGGCATTCTGATACAAGGGAATGTTATGGAAGACTATGGTAGAGTTCTTCTGGGCTTTTTCAAGAGCACCTCTGGCCTTCCAGCTATGAGAGAAGTGACCCACTCGCTTCTTGCAGAGACCTGCAGCACAGTCGACGTGTTCATCCTCTTCCACTGCATTTTCCAAAGGGAAATATAAAAACACAAAGTACACATCAATTATTATACACATTTATATTTTTAATAAGAAAGTGCTCATGAAACTTTGCACACTATGCAAAGTCAAGCAGCTGGTGTTAGAGGTACAGAAAGCCAAAATTAAACCTGTTGTGTAGTGTCTGAAGACTCTTAGCTAAGCTAATGCTTGGTGGCTCATGACTGGCATATATAAATATGCATATTAATTTTATATTATTATTAGAATTATATCCTTTTTATCTTTCTAATATTCTTCTTATAGAAGAATCCCTATCTTAATTTTATTTTATCTTAATTTTAGTCTCAATCTGGTCTTGGACTCACTTTGTTCAGGTTTCAGTCTTGACTTGTCTCCAGTGTTCTTGACTACAACACTGATGAAAACAAAGAGAATGCCAAAGCCAGTAAAGCCTCTTCTTACTTTTTGAATTCACCGCCAGGATTTTCATATATTTTAATTTTATATTTAACTGTGTGGCTCTGAATGATATTTAGATTTCAGAAAACAAACAGTCTAAGCATTCGCCCTGTCATCAGGAGATCGAGTCTGGCCCATGGATGGTAGGATGGCCCTCTTCCCCCATCACCCAGAGGCATTCTAGCCTGTACGGGTGTTTGTTAGCTGACATGACAGAATTGCCAGTTAGTGTTCTCCTTCAAGCACGCTGAGCTGTCTAATGATGTTGTGCTTAGCAGTTCAGAAAGATGCCGTAGTGCTTCACGTGACTAAGGAAGCTGGTGCTAGCCTTCACTCTCGGGTTTGGAATTGTGTTATAGGGTTACAAATAAATAAATAAATTAATTAACAGATTTTAATTTAAGAGGCACTGCTTGAGATACTGATGAGCAGTGTTGCCAGATTGGGTAGGCACCCAGATTGGGCGGATTTGGTCTGGCGGGGAAAATAATTATGTGAACAGCTTTTGGTTCTTCATAGCAGTGATAAACACATTAGTTAAAGAGACCAACAATGCCATCAAGTCTTCCACTTGAAAACCTATGTGCAAATTTTCGAAGGCAAGACATCAGCGAAAAACATACCTACAAGCTCATTATAGATGTCACGTTGGTGATTATATTGATTTGTGGTTAAAATGACCTTTTTGCTTCTGATGCATACTTTTTCATGCATTTTTGGTGAGTTTTGAACATTTGTGGCCTGAAAACTCTAGAAGCAACTTGGCAACTCTGCTCACCAGTGACTTACTGCTATGAAGGACTCAAGTTTGGTAGCATTATGTTACAGGAGGACATAAAATATAACTAATTTTTCTCATGAAAGTGAAGGAGCTTTTGAGCTGCTCTTGTTAGCTTTAGTAGAACAATGTTTAACGTCAGGCATTTGTCAGTTTGTTTGCACATTAACAAAAGGCCCTCCTCTTCTTTTTTTATTCTTAATTAGATCCTGATACCAAGCCAAGTTAAGGTTTGTTCACACATTTCCCCTTAGGGTATGGACTGATGCTAGAGTGCAAATGAGACATCAAGGTCAGGGGTAAGAATTAATAATAACTGAAATGAACAAAAGGCTAACATGACTTTTCAAAGTTTTGGCATTAATCTGAAATTTACAAGGCCTGTCTTGGTTACCTTTAGTGGTAATTCCCTGATGTTTTGAGCAACAACCTCACAGCAACACCAAAGCAACCACCTGGGATACCATAACAACAGCCTAGCAACCACTTAGGATATCATAGCAACCGCTTAGCAATACCCTAGCAATCACCTAGGATACCATAGCAACAACCTAGCAACACTCTAGCAACCACTTGGGATACCATAGCAACAGCCTAGCAACACTCTAGCAACCACTTGGGATACCATAGCAACACTCTAGCAACCACTTGGGATACCATAACATCTGCCTAGCAACACCCTAGCAACCACTTGGGGTACCATAACATCTCCCTAGCAACACCCTAGCAACAAGCAGAATCTGCGCAATCACAACATTTTATTCAGGAAATGCACTTTTTTATTTATAAATGCAACTATAAACAGGCAGCAACTGGTGTTGTAAACTTCAGTAAATAAACACTTAATATTTCAAATTAAATGTGACAGTTCATTCTCTCTAATAGCGAAAATAGCGAAACAGCATAACAATTATGGTTTAGTAGGCTCATGCACTTAAGATGGAAATATTATTTCCAGACATCCATTAAAATTATTTTAAGACATTATTTAAATTCATGCTCTGAATGTACAAAATGCTCTTTGGTCTTCTGTGTCTAGAGACGTCTTTTCTCATTCACCTTAATATTTCCTTTCATGCTTCAGGGAGCAATTACTGCTTCATCTTTCTGTTCTCTGTCCTTGACCATGAACTGTGTAGCCACCCAGCCAGAAAGTAGTAAAGCTGACTGATGGTTTATGAAGATTTTAATGTCGTGAGATAAACAGACCGTAAGAGCTATGGAAAACCAAAAATAGAGAAACAAAAGAAAACAAAATAAAGTTCAATTTCTCCAGTAAAAATGAGAATATGAACATTTCATACTGTAATAAGGAAACAAGGCAATATTCTAGCTTGCTCACGCAGTCTCTCAGCTCATATGCGATAAGTGAGTTAAGAACTATACCTACATATAAAAACGCATCTTACTTATCCATTCACAAACTTGTGCTTAACCTGGGGTGTATTCCAGAAAGCGGGTTTAACAAACTCTAAACCTAAGCCGGAACTCAGAGTTGACTTATCTCGCCGTGTCATAGTCAAAGTTTCCAGTTCCACAACAGCTGATCAGAGTTAGTTTAGTCAAGATTGAGTAGATTGAACCCAGCTGAAGCGCGTTCACTGTTACCCGTAAATAGGCATTCGCAATGGAGTGGCGAAAAACCGATTCACTATGGACACCAATGATGGAAAAAAGAGAGCATCTTATTTCACACCCATAGAGCAGGAAATATTACTGACTGCATATGCAGAAAATGAATACATATTTACACGTAAAAGTAATACTTCAGCAGCTGCAAAAGAAAGGGAATTGGCATGGCAAAAAATTGCAGACCAAGTTAATGCGTGAGTTATTATTAAATTATATTTAAATAAAACTATGACACATAATTTAACATTTAGCAAATGGATATGGCAAAAATAATTTTAATGTCAGTTGTAATGGTTGTCTTGATTTTTACATTTTTTTTTCTTTTTTCATTTACATAATATAGGTGTAATCCAAGTGGGGTGAAACGCACATGGCAGCAAATAAAGATGAAATATAAAAACAGTGCAAAGTGGTATGACTTGTACATAACTACCTAATGTTCTTACTTGTAACCAGCTTGGTATGGCTTACAGTTGGTTATGGCTTTGTAGCTAATAGGAAAAAGGCAGAGGCACGGAAAACAGGAGGGGGACCACCACCACCGCCTTTCACCCAGGCAGAAGAGCTGGCGCTGTCACAGAACAGTGGCCGGCCTATAACTGATGGAATCCCTGGAGGAAGCTCAACAGAGCCAACAACCCACCAGGACATGACTGTTTATGTTAAAGGTATATTCATTACATTTATTTGTTATAGTGCATAAACTGTGGAGAACTGCATTTATCTGAACAATTTTAATTCCATCTCTCCAGTGATAGGCGGTGTGGTTCAAACAACCGAGCCTCCTGCAGTTGTAAATGATCTTAAAGTCCCTAGATCTTACTTGAGGTGTACAAATACCTTTCTTTTAAACAAAAAAATCATTGTTTCAGGATGAAGAAACTGTCTCTGCTGTCTCAGAGTGGGATGATGCTCTTGGGAGGCCTATGGATGTACAGTATGTGTTGCATATGTTGAATATATTGACCATGGCATTTCATGTGATCCACCATGATAATGTGTGACTGCCCTCTTACAGAACATGACAGGAGATGTACAGCCCAATGAGGGACCATCAACATCCAGAGCTCAGCTTGGAACAGTAAGATTAGTTTAATGTCTCACCAAATAGCTGAAATATTTAGAACGCAAAGTTATTTATTTGACCATATCATGGTATTTTTCTCTCTTCCTCTCTGCTTCCAAGCTGCCTGTAAAGGATTTATACAAGATACACCTCCAGAAGCAAATTGAGAACTGTGATCTTAAGATGGAGCACATAAAACTCCAAATAAAACAGACAAGCCTTGAAATTGAGTTGCTGGAATATAATTTAAAGGTGGGGGTAATTGCTGTGAGTGTATAGATGTGAATGTTCTTACTAAAGAATAAGGACAAGGAAATTAACTTGCCATTTTTTTTATTTTCAGGAAATAAAGAAATCATGAACATAAATTGTAGTCTTATTTATATAATTAAAGGGCAGATGGGTGAGAGAAATGAGGAAATAATTATTGGGAGAAATAGTGATTGCATATTGCATCTCGGACAATTCTACCATTTCTGTGGTCAGGTAGATTAAGATGTGGTTCCTTCTCAATATCTGCTTAGGGTATGGCAGGATGTTGCTCTCCTCTAATGGTGGCAATGTTGTGCAGTACCACACATGCCACTATAATGTCACATGCCCTCTCTGGAGTGACCCTGAGCCCCCGCAGGCACTGAAACCTGGCCTTGAGAATCCCGACTGTCATTTCAATCCTTGCTCTTGTTTTGGACAGGGCCAGGTTGTAGCGTGACTGTATGGTGTCATCACATATGGCATGCAGGGATACCCTCTGTCTGCAAGGAGGAGACTATCGTATTGTCCTGTAAGCACACGGGGGATGCAGTGATTTAAACTGAAACAATGTAACCATACGCTGAATGTGAACCACAGCAAACGTTTCCCAGGCTTACCTTGTTCAAATTTATTGTATAGTGCAGACTCACGAAAAATCCGTGCATCATGCACAGAGCCAGGCCATTTGGCTTCAAGATTTGTAATTATGTTTGTAGCATCACATATGATCTTCATGGAAGATAACAGTAAGTTTATGTAACAAATTAAATGCTACACTTTTATTTAAATAAATTTAACAAAGTACATTTAAAATGGTCACTACCTGTATATTAATGCTGTGGAAGGATTTTCTGTTTACATAATCCCCTTCATTTTCTGCAGGTGCTTTGATTGGGATGTGGGTTCCATCCATGCAGCCAATGACTCTTGGAAATCCTGAAATATTAAAAGATGCAGAGCTATTTCCACTTCCCAATTATTTTATCCTTTTGTAATCTTTGTTAATAAATACAAACCTGCAATTCTGTGGAATTCCTCTTTGATGTTCATTACAGGCTTATGCCCAGGGAACACCACAAAACTGTACATCAAACGTTTTAATGCTAGGCATACTTTTCGGACGGACCGACATACAGTAGCCTTCCCTATGTGTTCAGCGTCTCCTACATTGTATAAAAAGGAACCATTTGCAAAAAAACGGAGAGCAATGCATAAAGTTTGCAAAGAAGTAAGTGCGGATCCATGATGTGTGATATTGGAAATGTATGGCTTTAGAATATTATTTAAGTATCTAATTGACTGTGAGGAAAAACGGTAACGTTCACGGAGATACTCGTTGGGTAATGAAAGTATGTCCAATCTGGGTCTAATGACTCGTTCCCGACGAAGAGCTCGATGAATGATTTGCGCTTCAATATCAACTGGATCCTCGAGGAAAGGACACGCCATGTTTGCTAGAGAAAAGTGCGTGTGAACCCGGGTTATGTTTAAGTTAACCTGCCAGCGAGCAGGTTAGCTTCAGAGTGTAAGTTGCTATAGTAACTGACACCGGTTTTCTTTAATCTCAGTTTCTGGAACGGAAAACCTTGAGTTTGTTGTGAATTCTGAGTTAACTTACCCGGTTTTATCGCTTAACCCGCTTTCTGGAATACACCCCTGAGTCTAGACAGTCATAACAGAACTGTTTCTAACTATAAGGCACTCAGCATTTTCTCTCTCCTCCACTGTAGTGAGGTTGCTTTAGTTATTTTTGCTGATGCATCTAAGAATCCATGCTACAGCTCTAATCACCCGAGACCCGTGAAAACTTACACAGATGATCAACTATGCTTACTTGTTCTGTCGTTTTGCTTCTCAAAGTTTAAGCACTTCTGACTTCGGGATCTTCTATCTCCAGCTCTGGAGTAACATCTTCCGGCAGCTGAAATTCCCTTTTCCATAAAAACTCTAGACTCGTGAACCAGGTAGATGTCAGAAGGTCATTGAGGGCCAGGCCTCTGGAGGCATGGTCAGCAGAATTCTTTGTTAGAAGAAACATACCTCCCCTGTTGAGGATTTGAGCTAAGGTGTATTTTCTGGACTCGGTTTGCGACAAACATGTGAAAACGTCTTCGTTCTTTATATACCCTAAAACCACCTTGGAGTCAGTCCAGAAGAACTCCTCTGCCTGAAGAAATGCCATCTCCTCCCTAAGCATGTTGCTTATCTTCACAGAAATGACAGCAGCTGTCAATTCCAGCCTAGGAACATTTGTAACCTTTGTTGGAGCTACTCGGGATTTCCCATTGACTCAAGCACAGTACACATCCCCATTTTCATTATGAAACCTCAAGTAGGAACACTGGCCATACCCTAATATGCTAGTGCCAGATAAATGATGCAATTTGGTCTTGGTAATGCTTCCAAATCAATCTGGTGCATAACAATGGGATATGATGACCTGGGCACCCAGGGGATAAAGGTCCTTGTTCTCCTTGGCCAGATACTTCAGCCCGTGATTGGCACATCCAGGAGAGGAAACAGCGCCGAATAGATGTACTCTCATATGGCAAGTTTCTGTCGGCTTCACGTACAAGAAACTGGTGGAACATCTTCTCGACATCGCACGTTAATGCAATGGTGTGTTACTGAAACCTAATAAGAGCCCCAATTATGTTGTTCATCAAATCAGGACCAGTGAGAAGATGGTTGTTCCCTTATACCTAGCTGAACAGTCAAACACTACTCGATGTTTATTTGGCTTTTTTGTGTGGTAGATGCCATGATGCGGGATATACCATCTCTCACCTTCAACGCCCCAGTTTTGGACTTCCTCTGCATCTCCCTTATCAATAACCTCCTTCATGAAATTGACATAATGCCCCTATACTTGCTGTCCTTTGCCAATTTCCTTTTCAGGTGGTTAAGCTGCAGAATAGCTAAATTCTTGTTGTCTGGTAGACAACAAGGGTCTCTTCTTGAAGAGGAGAGGCATTTCGTAATGACCCTCACTGTTCTTCCATATATCCTCACTTAACTTGTCAAGGAACATGACATCATCTTGAGAAACTGTCTTGCTGTCTTCCTTTACATCCTTGAAGTCAGACTCTAGAATACGAATGACATCTGCAGGAGTTACAGGTGGTAATTCTTTGACAGAAGTCTGTCTGAATGGCAAAGGGTTCGTCATTTCCTCCCAGAATAACCTGCTTTGGCACTACTGCTCTCGAGAAGTTGTAGCCGATGAACAGGCCTACTTCACAGTCTTTGAGTGGCTGGAGCTCATCAGCTATTTCTGAGAGATGGGCCCATTGCCTGGCTGACTGACAGGTAGGAATGTGCATGTGGTTTAAGGGTATGCAATCCTTTTAGGCAGGTGGAAGTTCTATGTGCTTTGCTGAGCTATAGCCTCTCACACGAAGCCCTAATACCCTTTCACTTGGAAGAATCATGCCATTTCCACTCATAGTAGTCAATTTGAGCTTCACTGGATACTTCTCAGCTTGCAAAATGTCACTTACTCCCTGGTCAACAAAATTGGTGTCGCTTTGAGTGTCTAGAAGAGCGTACGCAAGCCTTTCCATATAAGGATTACTCTTCATTGACACCCACTTGCACAACCATGGATGTGCTGGGAGAACTTTCTCCAGCCATGCTGAGTGACATTGACATCGCTGCCTTATTTGCCTTACTATGCTGTGAGTCAGAAGAGAATGCAGAATTTGCCTTATTCACATGACTGTCATGGAGACATGTTGGATGCCTTCCTTTAAAAGTGTTACAGATGACACCCAAAGCACAGCTTTCTTTCTTTCATATAGTTTTGTCACTCCTCCAAGGACATGGAGCTGTGAATCTAGGGCAGCCATGAAGCTGGTGTCTATGACCTTGACATAGCATACGGGGGGGTTTTACACTTTTCTTCGATGATTGTTGACTCTCACTGTCTGTAGCTGTTTGGCTGCTGAGGACACTAGCCTTGGTTTTCTTATGCTCTCATGGGTTGCATTTATCAGAGGAGGAATCCAAAGAATGGAGAGCGTGAAAAGAAGTTACTGGGTTGCAGGCAACTTCAGCTTCCAGGGCCACAAAGGCAGCAAAGTCCTTGAAACTTGGGAATTCTTGCTTCTCAGTTAAGGTTTGAGTAACTTGTCTGTTCCATCATGAAGCCGTCCAGTTGGGAAGTTTTTGAGTGATTTTTTGATTCTCTTCAAATTCATTCAGTATTTCAAGACCCTTGACATAAGGCGTAGCATCTTGGCAAGCATTCCGGAAGTCAGAAAGATCCCTACAGCATCCTTCAGCTGTATTTTTGGCCAATTTACAGGTCTTGTTTGAAATGCTGTTTGAATGATGAATGGTTGACCATTCAGCTTGAACCATGCATCACAAAAGGCTTCAAGGTCAACACCTAAAACCTTGCAGACTGGGCCACCCACATATTTCTTCAAATAAAACAGCTTTTCAGCAGGGGAGATGCACCTCTTGTCAATGAGGAACTGAAAACCTGATTTCCATTCAATAAACTGGATAGGATCTCCATTGAACACAACTGGCTCTGGAACAGGAAGTCTATTTAATGCTACGCTTATCTTGAAGGGCCTGGGTCAGAAGGGAAACCTCTACAAGGGGAGATGCTGTGCTACTGGGTTGACTAACAACGGCTGGAGATGTGGTGTTACGTTCCGTTTGACTTTTGATCCTATGGTTCGCGTCAGTATGTGTGTCTCTTGCTGTCTTTGGTTCTTTCTCTGCCTGCAGTCGCTCCAATTCTCGCTGCTGAGCTTCTAGAGCTCTTCACTGTTGTTCTATAATATCCCTTTGTTTCTCTTCTTCTAGCAGCATTCCATACTCAGCCTCTTTTGCTGCCAGTTCAGCTGCTGCATCTGCCCATTTTGCCACCACCAATGACGCTGCAGAATAAAGGCTTGATCTAGAACATCTCTGCGAGACGACTGATCCACAGATTGAATGTGCATAATCACGATCAAGAAGCTCTTGGAGACAATCCTTTTCATGCTCTGCATTGAACTCACCATTAATTCCTACCATTCTCTCATATTTTGACAATATCCATTGTGACAGCTTCACAAGCATCTATCCGTCACCTTAACTCAGCTGGTGGTGTGATAAAGTTCCGGATTTCAGAATACATTTTCATGATGTCTTCCTTACCCTTTTCCAGTGTGATGATGAGAAGTCCTAACTGACTCTCCGGAATATCTGACATTAGCTGATCTCTTGCCTTGCATGTGTGGCAATGTGATGTTGTTACACTAGATTATTCACTTCAGGGATTTTATTTTGAAATCAGCAAGGGCTTTTAACTGTTGGAGCTATTCATTGAGGAGAGAAAGGGGGGACTATTAAATGTAAAATTCTTCTAGTTTTAATTATTTTATTATTTCTTTTGTCTACTGCAAATTATTTAGCTTGAGGAATATGTAAGAGAGAAGTCTGATTTACTAGAGCAAGTTCAGTATGGGCGGAGTTTTAGCAGCCTTTACTTGAGTGGAGTACGAAGTAAGCTGTAGCCCCACCTTTCGTCCTCTTTGGAAAACGCCACTGTGAGAGAAGGTATGTGCTGGCGCAGCTCCGTAATTTTGAGTTAAAACACACTTTGTATTTTTCAGCTTTCTACATAAAATGAGTTAATTCCGTCACAAAAACATTGTCACACACTGGTTATGCTGTTGTGGAGTTAAAACATTGTTTTATGAGGTTTAACGTACTTTTTATTCGCTGTTGGCCACGAGTTATGTTAAGGTGGAATGCTAATCGTGAAGTTAGAGTATGGATGCTAATTGTTCACAGGATATTTCGTATTTCTTTTGCTCAATATGACAAGATTAAACCGACAGTGCATGCATTTGGTTGTTTGTAAACAAGAGCTGTAACTTTTATTCACAATTTTAGGGTTGTATAGTTCGTGTAGTGTAACAGCTTTATTGTGATCTGAGTGCACGGCGCAGCTGAGCACGAGAGAGAGAAAAGCTATTGAAGCCTATTCACCTTTTGTAAACTCTGTGCAGGTATGTTGAGTTATATTGTCAAATATATGTTAATCTTTTATTGTTCAGTAAATGGGGAGCGTGTACAGCTTACAGTTCGCTTTGTATGTATTTTTTTTTATTATTGTTATTTTTTTTTAATGTGTGATTGATGAAATTCCTCTTTGGAAAACGCCACTGTGAGAGAAGGCGCAGCTGAGAGCACGAGAGAGAGAAAAGCTATTGAAGCCCGTTTCTTCGCCTTTTGTAATCTCTGTGCAGGTGGAGAAAATAAATGCTCCCTCAGGTTAAGCTGGTGTGCTGATGTCATCACTTCATTCATCATTCAACCCTACACAACGCAGAAGTAAACCCGTTACACATGCATGGCTTTTCCACTGATCATACAGGGAGAGCAGTCTTTTTTCTTTTCTCTGAGCTTCTTCCTTTTGAAACACAAGCATCTTTTCAGTAGGACACCATGTTCGCTCACAGTGTTGAGGGGGTGGAGGTTCCTTATCAGCTTCATGAAGTTTTTGTTGAAAATCATTTTTTTCTTTGGTTTAAGTTGCTCCTTTACAGCAGTGCCTCTCAGATGTCTCTGTAGCTTTCAGAGACATAACCACTGGATCTTTGACTTGCTCCTCAAACTCTCCTACATTTGAATAATCTACTGCTGAGTCAGTCATCTTGCCTTACATCTACTGTGAAATGGAAGAGACAGGCTTGAACAGGACAAAGGTAAAAAGGTTCACTTATACAATTATACAACACTTATACATTAGTACTGGAAAATGCATTGTAATGCTGTGTCTTAGATAACTGTAGCTGAATTAAAAACAAACCTTAGACACTTGCAATGATGTCCTTAATCTTAAATGTCCATTTATGCTTGCAGATGTATTTTACTTTCAGTATTTTCACTTGAGTAGGAGATGCAAGTGTGAAATGTTCAACATTTACTTCATTTAATGTGGTTTGCCTTGAAAAGTTCCTCACCTTGCCAATGTTACTTACAGTTCTGACGCTTTTAACTCATTGAATGAATTGCTGTAACTGTGTCCATGTCCGATTGTAACACTGAGTCCTTTAGGCTGCTGTCCCGCCGTACACTGCAGGAGTGACCACTGAATATGCAATGCTGCATGATGAAGAGCTCACTGTATGATGAAGATCCTTCAGCGTAGATGTCCTTGAGGTAGATGGCAGGCCACTAAGATCAATGAGGGTGAAGCTCTTACTGTAGCCACCCAGCCAGAAAGTAGTAAAGCTGACTGATGGTTTATGAAGATTGTAATGCCGTGTGATATCAAAAACACACCGTAAGAGCTATGGAAAAACAAAAACAGAAAAACATTTTCACTAAGAAAACAAAATAAAGTTCAATTTCTCTATTAAAATGAGAATATGAACACTTCATACTGTAATAAGGAAACAAGGCTATATTTTAGCTTGCTCAAGCAGTCTCTCAGCTCATATGCGCTAAGTGAATTAAGAACTATACATATAACAGCGCATCTTACTTATCCATACACAAACTTAAGCTTAACCTGCATAATATGCCACAAAACAAAGTCAGCAATACAGCATTTCGCATATATACGAGTCTAGATAGTCAGAACTGTTTCAGCTTCCACAGCAATATAAAGTCTAACTTGCAGTAGCTAGCACTACCACAGTGTGAAATTGATCCACGTTTAAACAGAGCTTTCAGCTAATTAGCATTAAAACTGTAGCTTCAAACATGAATTAGAATATGTATAAAAAACACATGCATTATAAAGAAAGAAAAAGAGTTACAAAACCCAACTCAAAATAGCTAGGGGCTCAATTTGCCGTTCTTCTCTTCCACTTCACACTTCCCAAGTTTCCAGTTTTTTCTAGCATCCGCACCAGCGCCCGTGACCCCGCTGCGAGGAGTAGAGTATATAAGTATATAAGGACCATATTTAACGTGGAAAAGATGGATGTTGACAGTCGGAGTGTGAGTATGGAAGGGTAAATCAAGTTTTATATAATTAACATTAAAACGTTCTGGTGTTTTGTATTAGACAGCAAAGTTAATGTTAACTAGCCAAAGTATGAGTAGCAAACTACATAGTCTAAAAGGCACTATACACAGTTATGTTAGCTTATGATAGATTGCTTCAAAATGAACATGTATTTGTGATTGTTCCTGCTCCTGCACTTTCAAAACTTAGCATATATAAGCAGTATATCTACCATGGTACTATGTGTTTACAGACCTATGTATAATGACTTTATCACCAGAGGTAAGAGTAGAGAATGTAATTGTTTTTACATAATGCCATAAAAGATTGGTCGATGCCTTAATTAAA